ATATTCTTGGTTTTGATTTTTAGCAAGCGCAATTAAAGTACTTCCAATAGTTTGACGATGATATTCAATATCTACGCCTGTTTGTTCAATATAACGAATATAAGGGGATGCTACTAATTGTTCCCATTGTTCATTTGCAATAACATTTACATCAAGTATAAACTGATCAACTTCTGGATTCATATGATGAATACGATGATCAATCGATGTTAATAATAAATAGCCAGCTAATTTATTTTGCTTATCATTAATAATACAAATTAATAATGATGTTGACGAAGATAATAATAATTTTAAACTCTCGATCGTCCAACTATGAATAAGAAAAACTTGACTTATATCATAATCATTGGTATTTTCAAATTTTTTTATTAATAGTTTTGACTGACAATTAATAATTAATTCACAAATACGATCAATTTGTTTATGAGAAATATTAATAGCATAACTAATAAAATTATTTTTTAATTCTTGTTTATAAACTAAACCTCCTGTTGTACCACTTTCAAATAATATTGATAAAGATGGAGATAGATGATCCATCGAATATTTTGCAAAATAAAAGTATCAAAAAACGACGTCTTTTGTCGTTTATATCACGTGCGTTCTGCACATCTCGAAAGAAAAAAAATATTTACCTTGTTTGAACAATGATAACGGTAGACACTAACAAAAAACGAACCAATCATTGATTTAAGGATTTACACTCGCAGCCTGATGTGATCTATAAATATATGATATTGAACACAACTACTTTTTAATTAGTTTTTTTATTTAACTAACGTGACTTGGTAGTCTGTTTTTTCTTCGACGATGTTACTTTTTTATTTATCACAAAATATTAATTTGTAAACTATACGCATTTTGTTTTTTAATGACACCTGTATGACCCATTTAATGCTGCTTTTGTTACTATCATTCTTTCATATAAAAATATGCTCTGCCTAAATGACGATGTAGAGATAAAGAACAGCTTAAAATTTAAAAGGTGACAAAAGCACAGTTGCTTTTCATTCTTTTACCAAACTAATAAAAGACGAAACTATGTTATTCCAATATTTTTTGTGCTTATTTATGTAAGTATTAAACACAACTTTTACGTTCTAAGTATATTTTCTTTTACTTTTAGAGTATTCGCATCAACGAATGGTAAGTACTTGTTGATAAGATTTTAAGAAATATAAAACTATTTATTTCCAGGTCAACCTATTTATAAACAATCTAGTAATTGTAAGTAAACAAAATAAAGAAAACTCAAATAATTCGATGAAATAAATTTTCAGGCCCCGGGAAGCTTAAATGGACTACAGATGGAATAACAATTATGGGTAGTGGTTATGGTACAGGTCCAGACCAATTCCAATTCCCGGAAAGTTTATTTATTGAACCAAAAACACAAATATTATATGTTACTGATGTCTCAAATAATCGCGTACAAAAAAGATATCCAAATGGTGAAATCAAAACTGCAGCTGGTCAAGCCAATTGTGCAGGTGGGTCAACACCAGATAAATTGAGCGGTCCGAGAGATGTTGTTGCAGATGAAAATGAAAATGTTTATGTTGTGGATGAGGGCAATCAACGAGTTCAATTTTGGGAAAAAGATGCTAAAAGCGGGCAAATGGTTGCTGGTGATGGAACTCGAGGTTCATCATTAAGTGAATTTAGTTATCCATTTAGACTTACACTTGATTCGAAGAAAAATATTTTCGTTTCTGATACACAAAATGAACGTGTAATGAATTGGTCATCAGTATATATTCCAAAAACATCTGCTGGTAAAATCGTAGCAGTAAGTTAAACTTTTATCTTTAGGAAATATCACCATAAAAATCCTTTGTCGATGTTTAGGGTGGTCATGGTGCAGGTCTCAATCCATATCAATTGAATGGTCCCGTTGGTTTATATTTAGATGAACCAAAGGATGACTTATATATAGCAAATGGAAATTCACATTCAGTAACACAATATAATATGGACAGTTATGGAGATAAAATAATAGTTGCTGGTATTCCCGGACGACCTGGTAATAGTGCAGCTCAACTCTACAGTCCTGAAGGTTTAACTCGTGATAAATATGGTAATTTATATATTACTGATTGTGGAAATCACAGAATCCAGATGTTTTGTCCAGATGCTGTGTTCGGTATTACTATTGCGGGTACAGGAAGAATGGGCAATGCAAGTAACGAACTAAATTTACCTCGTGCTGTGGCATTTGATTCCGACTTGAATTTATATGTTACAGATACATATAATTATCGCGTACAAAAATTCAATAGAATACAATAAAAACATAAACAATTTTTGAATATATTTTTAAAAGAATCTTCATTACTTTAATGTAATGTAATGTAATTATTTTTAGAATAAATAATCCATTGAAATTAATTAAAGCCATTGATGCATTAGAAGACCTGGGATCTTCTACACTGTCTTATCGTTCACAAGCTAAAATGGGGGTCTTCTACTACGCCCCTAAAAAAGTCATATTTTATGATAGTCTAAACGACAATTTCTGTTTTTTATGCTTTTTTGCTCAATACATTGTCAGTAAATGAGTTAGTTCAACTTAATTGATTCTCGTATAATAGAAAATAACCAGATAATATTTCAGTGAAACAAACGGGTCGCATTCATTTAGCCGACAATCACTTCACCGACAGGTACCATTCACGGACAAAAAGTCAAACTTAAAAAGTTCAATATTTAATGGTACTGCAGTGTTATTCACTATTATTTTATTTTTCTTTTCTGTCATCGGTTATATTATATAGATGACGCATACAAAATATACACATGTGGGTGATTCTCACGCCCGTGGTACCGTTCTGCCTTAAGATGTATTTTGAGAATAAATCGGGTAACATTCAACTGACTGACTTGAAACTTTTTTCTTATCCTTGCCGCATGACTCCCATACAATCCTAAAAAAATCAGCCTTCTAGCTCATTTCCTTAACGAGATATCACTTCTACAAGTGACAAAAACCGAAATACTAGCATTGCTCTCCTCAGGAAAGTCCAATCAACCACGACGATTAAGGCTGTAAGAGAAGTCTCTATCAACTTTTCTAGCAGAGAAAAATGTGCTCTATCTGAATTTGACCTTTATTGCACACGCAAATATTTTTCACAACAACATTTTTAAGATTCTTTTACTTTCCAGACACTTTCGCTATTTTTGTCCGGTCATAATATTTTTTAAATTCCTCCCTTCGAATTCAACTTTTCGAATCGGAAAGGAGTCTAGACTGTAGAGCAGACATGGGAAATATATTCTCTTAAAAAGATTTTTTAAAATTACGCTTATTGGGAAGACCATTTCTTTTTTTTTTTGTTTTTTTCTTTTCACATATTTTGTCTGGTCATTTTTCGAATATTGTCCATGAAATATCTCAAGAAGGTTTCAATCAATTTTTGTGAAACTTTCACCCTTTTTTTGTTTCTTTCTACATCTGGGAAAAAAATCAGCTCGTGAGAACAAGTGGTTCATGAAAAAAATGCAAAATACAGGTGCAATGTCCGGTCATAATTTTTTGGTTGAAAATGTCCGGTCATATTGTTTTACTAATATACTGCTGAAATGAGAACAAAAATTTGATTGAAAACATATCATTCGACTCCTTGAAACCGGGAAATCTATCTATAGCTCCATTTTTGAGTTCATATGCGATTCGAAAAGCTATTTCGATTATATGCTTCATATATGCTCGAAAATAAGCAGATATTTAGCTTAACCGATGTATGAACCATTTACTATATATATACTCAACTATCAATAGATACTATTAGATAGAATTCATTGATATCCATCGAATGATCGGGTGTTTTTCTTCTTTTATGCCAAAGCTGAAGAGACTCGACTATCAGCGAATTGCCTTAAGAACCGAGGAGTTGATATGAAGATCTAAGTATCTCATCGTTTTAATGGAAAAGTTTAGGGAAAATGTGTATTTTCTATACAAAAAGCAAAGGTGCTCTATCAAACCATTAGCTCGAATCTTTTCTCTAAACACTTTCAATTTTTTTTTTCTTTCTTCTGTCAATTGTACCATGGACGTGCGATTCACCCATGTATGTACCTCTTTTCTTTTCTTCTTCACCTCATGTGTTTTCCAACAATTTTGCCTGTTATGACCTACATCTTTATCAGATGTGATCATAAGGATTTTTCCCTTTGTGAGAAAACGCACATATATATACTAAGGGGTTGCACAATCTTAAGAAACGAATTCTGATGTCCTGATTATGCAATACTGTTATTCTAGGTTCTTGCGCCATCCTAGAACTGTTCTATCTCGTTGACTAAGGGTCATGCAATAACCTTGCATATTCTTGTGCAATAACCTTGACCATAGTCTTGCACCATAAGCGTAAGTATTCTTACGCAATTACTAGGATTATATTCTTGCGTAATAACCTTAAGTGTGATCTTCCTGTTTATGACGCCACTCTAGTGCATGACATAACACCCTTTTTATCATATGTGTGTGAAGACTTTTTCCTTGCCTGTCATATATATACATACAGGTTGATTACTTTATTTTTAATAGTTTTGTGTAGTTTGCTATGTTTATGTAAAATATCACAAGTTTCTTATTTTGATACAGTTGGATAGAGCATCGACTGCTCTATCGACCCATATAATTTTCATTTTCTTTCCGTTGATTCTTGACCAAGAAAATTGATAAATCCTGAGAAGCAGTAGAAAAAAAATTTGCACTTAGCACAGATGGGCAGAATAATCTACTACGTTGCATTAAAAAACAAAATACACCAAAAGATGCAGCGTTAAAAGTTCTTCAATGTACAAGGTAAAGTGTATTTTAATTGTACACTTTTACTTTTCAAAAAAAGGGAAATTCTGTGCGACCAATTTTCGCCGTTGCAAAAAAATCATTTTTGCTGCCTTCGTTTTTCTGATCTCATATTTTTATCACCTGATATGTCTTCGTAAAAAAAGCAAACTATACCAGAAGATGCAGCGTGAAAAGCTCTACAATTTACACCACAAAGCTTATTGTAACTGTTTTAAAAAAATATTAAAAATGCTGTAGAACCTATTTTCGTCCTTTTTAGTCCAGTTCAAGACAAAATTTGAAACTATAAAACAAATGGCCTTACGCAAGGGGGAAAACAACTGATTTCGAATCACTCGAATGGCCGAAAATGTTAGTATAGTATTCTTCCGTTCCTTTCGGTTGAACGTTAACCGAGGACCTTTGGCTCTTATCTTTAGTTCTTGACCCGGAAACAGGCAAACACTGAACTTGTCGGAATGGATGGAAATGGATGCGAATGCCGAACAGCTGTTTCCCCCTTGGCCTTACGTGTGTTGTAGAGTTTTTCAAGCTGGATCTTCTGGTGTACTTTTTTTTCTAATAAAACATATTAGATGATGTAAAAGAATATAAAATATCATCATTTATCCTGCCCATCTGTGCTAACTGAAAAATTCTTTTTTACTGCTTCTCAGGATTTATCAATTTTCTTGGTCAAGAATCAACGAAAAGAAAATGAAAATTATATGGGTCGATAGAGTAGTCGATACTCTATCCAACTGTATAAAAATAAAAAACTTGCGATGTTTTACATAAACATAGCAAACCACACAAAACTATTAAAAATAACGTAATCAACCTGTATGTATATATGACAGGCAAGGAAAAACACCTTCACACACATATGATAGAAAGGGAAAAATCCTTATGATCACATCTGATGAAGGTGGACGCCATAACATTGTCTCTTTACTTTTGTTTGGAATTCTCCTTTGTCGTCCATGGTTTTTTCATAACTCCTTGAGAATTTCTCCAACTTATTTATCTACATATAGCAAACAATTTCTGAAATCGAACCAGTCATTGATTTTATATCAGCTGAAACAGTTTACCGTTATAAAACCATTACTCGTAAAAGAAATAATAGTTTAATCATGGCTTCAAGTACTTTCGCTGAGGCGATTCAATCTTCAAAAGGTATGATCAATATTAACATTGACGGATTTATTTATATCAAAGACAAAAATCGCAATGATTCGTATTATCGGGTGCGAAAACAGACACAGAGGGCTGTAGATTTCCCGCTCCGACCGAGGAACACGTTGTTGACAAAAATAATCTACGAGCCAGTTTCCCCGGTCCAGACGGGAAAGTGACAGTTACACACTGCCACCTAGAAGAGGATTCCGGGATACCAGCATCTCCGAACAATCAGACTACAACCTCCCGCTTACAACAATAAATACTGTTCTGTTACTCACACCAAAGAATTTCCGGAATCAAGGATCCCCCACTCACATTTCTCAAGGATTCGAGGATTCCGGGATTCCACAATCACATTTCCCAATGAATCGAGGATTACACGATTCGAGGACTCCCGGATTCCACAACAATATTTCTCAATGATTCGAGGATTCCACGATTCAAAGATTCCAGAATTCCACCATCATACTTCTCAAAGATTCGAGGATTCCACAATCATCTTTCTGAATGATGCGAGGATACCACGATTCAAGAATTCCAGGATTCGAGAATTACAGGATCCCAGGATTCCACAATCATATTTCTCAATGATTCGAGGATTCCACGCTTCGAGGATTCCAGGACCCCACAACCATATTTCTCAATGGTCCGAGAATTCGTCGACTCGAAAATTGCACGATTTGAGGATTCCACAATCATATATCTCACTGATTCG